TTTGGATGGCAAGAGTTAGGACATCCCAAAACCTCCACCTGCCCTGGAGGACAACTCTTACTACTTATCTAATGTACAGAGCAAATTGTCCTGGAATCACTGATGCTGTGTGGTCACCCAGGGAAACTGTGGCTGCCCCTGGATCCCTGGAAGTGTCCAAGGCCAGGCTGGACGGGGCTTGGAGCACCCTGGGGTAGTGGGAGGTGTCCCTGCCCACGACAAGGGGTTGGAAAGAGATGATCTTTAAGGTCCCTTCCAACCCAAATCATTCTGTGATTCCGTGATTCTGAGTGTCCTTTGTGCAGACACAAATGTAGGTCCCACTTAGCAGAGCTCTGGGACTAAGTCATTCCTGTTTCCAATCTTCCTTTGGAAGAGTCTCCCACATAGCAGTGTCTGTTCCCAAAGCACTTCGCTAAAGCCTTGGAGAAGGACAGATCTACATTTCATGTTTTGACATAGTTCTGAACAATTGTCCTCATATTGGCTGTTATGTGCTTGGATTTTTACCTCACAGGCATCCCAGACTCCAGGAACCTCAGAGGGGAAGGCTTCAACAGCAAAGCTGACCACTGACTGGGCTCTTCAAATTTGATCTATCAGTTTTCGACTGCATTATTAAAAATAATGACACTTATCTGGTTTGCTTGGTCTCATTCCCTTCATGGCAAACATTTTCCTGTAAGTGAATGCACAAGATTGGGAAACTTTGGTAATCACTTTTCAATCAAAGCAATTACCAAACAAAATTCTGCTGGTAAATCTTCATGACCCAATAAATTTAATGGTCTTCAGTGTCAAAAATTCAAGATAAAACAACTGCAGTGGTAACACTACAGGGATGAAAAGTGGCACAGCCCTCTTATCTACTGGAGCAAGGTTGGTGTGTGCTGGGTTGGACCAAACCTTTGGATACGTTCAGGACAGGATGAAGAGTGGGAAGAGAAGGACTGAGGCATGTTTTAACATTCAGGCTGTGATTTTAGAGTTCTTTTCCAACCCAAATGAATCTATGATTCTACACTAGGAGAGGAAGGTGACCTCGGGTGGATTTCTCCTTGATGGTTCTCCTGCGCTGTCTGTTGGAGGACGAACAACCTCCACCACCTCATTCTGTACAGACACAAACTTCCCCACACTGGTGTTCACTGGAAGGCTCAGCCTGCACCAGCACACGGTGTGATGGATCAGTTCCCAGATCACTGTCACTGACAGCTGAGTCCCACTCATGAGGACATGAAGTGTTTGCAGAGGAGCTGTCCACCCTTTGCTCCTCTAACCCAGCAGCAAAGCCCCAATCCAAACCCTGCAGTGAAGAAATAATCTTGAGTCTCTCCACAGAACCTCAGAGAGTCCTCAAGAGTTCCCTTTCCCCTGTTTCTGATGGTGCTGCAGGTGTCAGCATTAATTTTTTGATTGCAGTGTTTGAGAAACGCCCATAAAGGTCAGCCTATCATCTGGAATATTCCGGATATTAGGAGCCTGTCCATGGGCTTCTAGGAACTTTGGCTCCAGTTCTCTCCATGGGGCTTGAAAAACAGTGTGGGACACTACCTATTCATCAGGAATTTTTGGTCGAGTGTGGAAAGGGAGGTGGGGGAAAAGAAATCAAGGGAAAAAAAACATCCGTGTTGTAGTAGGGCTCATTCTTCTGCTTGTGTCTTTGTTTTTAGTTGTATTTTACATGCACTTAAAAAATAGCTCAACAGGTGAGGCTGGGAAGAAAGATGCCAAGACTTCTCATAGACTGGGGGATTCTGGGACACTGGTTGGAAATGGGAAGGGCACTGAAGGGGACAGGGGAGGAAGCCCACGCATTTACATCACAATTCTGGCACATTTTCCAAGCAAAAAAGCAAATCCAGCTCAAACACCAAAATAAAGAGAAACAGAAAGAAAAAAAAAATAAAGAGGAGATGAAAGAGAAGCAAAATGCAGATTTTCTTTCAAATCCTGGGCATGGGGGAAAGAAGAGGGTGGAGAGAAAGCAGAAATGCCTAAATGGGAAGTTGGAAAGGGTTAAGACACCAATCTCCTGGTGCTTCCCATTTCCCCTAAGTGTTTCATTCTCAGTGTCTCTGAGGTGTTCAAGTTTTTCTCGAAAAATATATATATATATAATATACAGATGAAAAACTTCGTACCAGCAAGAAGAAATAAAATACCAACCATGGAAAACAACCATAACAAACCAAAAACACAGCCCTGAAAACATCAAAAAGAAACAGGGTGAGTCTCAGATTTCCCCTGTGGTGTTCCTCTGACTTCAGTAACAGTGCAGGATCACACCCAGTTCATTTTGATACTTTTTTTTTTTTTTTGTTAAACAGCTTCTTCCTCTCATGTGCGCATGTCCAGGCAGGATCGCCCATCACTCATAACCACTTCCCTCCAAGCCAGCTCTTTGTCCTTAGACTCCTACCATCCAGCTGTGGGTACAAGGCATGACAATAGGGTCCATATTTATCTTTTTGTGGCACTTTGTTTGTCAAAACCTTTGGTTTCTTCCTTTTTTTTTTTTTAATTTTTCCTTTTTTTTTATTTTTTTTTTTTTTAATTTACGTACTTATAAAAAATACTGTGTTTGTGTTGTTTGTTGTCATTTTCTTACCACTGGCTCTGGTGGGACTTCCCACTTTCACAGCCATAATCAATGGATCTGGAACATGCGCCGACGTTATTAAAATGGGTCAACAAAACCATGGCAGAACCAACCAAACCCAAACCATCCCCAATGCGCAGGCCTCTTAAAACTGCTGAGATGTCCATAAGGTGCATGATGAGTCCATCAGCTCAGCAATCCAACAGAAAGCAAGCAGAACCAAAGAAAAAAGGAAGGAACGCACACGCGCACACAGATACACACGCACACGCACAAAATAATCGGAATTGTAATCAAGAGAGAAATGTCTGGGGGTTTAAAACCAAGACGTGTCCCTAAGTTTGCTGTTTCAACATGAATCTGGTGATTTTCTCCCCACGGACACGTCCAGTTTTGGACTGCTGTTCTTTGAGTGGTTTTGGACTCGCCTACGTGTGTATCTGCTTGGCTGAAGGAAACCCTCCCGCTGACTGACTCCTGCTTGCACCAAATCCCCCCTCACACACGCTCAGGATCTGTCACTCCCAAGAGGTTCTGGTTTGATAGCAAGGGACAGGAATAAACCCAAACCAACTCGCTCTGTAATCAATTTACATGCCCTGCCTGCACCCCTTCCTCCCTACAGGTGCAAAGCAGATCCAGGCTGAGGCTCCGAGGATGGGGTGAGGTGGATGTGGGCTGATTCTCCAGCCACTCCTCTGTCTGCCAGGGAGCTCTGCTCGTGTCTGGGGAGATGAATGCTGACCCAGCTCTTGCCTTCCTGGTGTACAAAGAAGGTTCTCCACTCCCCAGGAGTCTCTAATCATGGTGTTATCTGGGCTGGCAGCCGTACGAATGGAACAGCTGAAGGCAGAAGAGATGCAGGAGCTCGCTCCCCTTTGGTTGGCCATGAAACAAGTTGAGATGTTCTGGAGAAGCTGAGCAGAGGATGGGACAGGGAGGGTGATCCCCCACAATTGTCCCATGGTAACAGTGATCCCTGAAGGGATAAGAAGTGCAAAGAGAGATAAAATCCTTCCCAGGCAGCAATTGTGCCTTCAGCAAGGCCTGTTGGTTCCAGAAATGGAGAAGAGGAAAGGACAGGAGTTGGCACCAAAAGGCAGATGGGCTCACAGCAGTTCAGAGACCTCCAGAAGACAGGCAGTTCGGCTGGGGGGATCTAGGTAGAATTTTTTGCAGTGTTTCATTTGGATTTCCTCCAAGATTTCCTTCCAAAATGTGTGGTGACATTTCCTCATAGGAGTGGCTTGGAAGGAAGGCTTTACCATCAGCCCCGTGCACCACCTCTCTTCACAGCAAGCACTTCACTAACCCTCTGATATTCCACTGTGGGAAAACAACAGCTGTGTTCCAGTTGAGGAAACAAAATGGAAAGAACAGCTTAAAAAAAAAAAAAATTAAAAAAACCCTTCTGGTTCTTCTTTCGAGGCTGAGCTCCTTGCCTGGAACAAACCAAGGCCTGTGGCTCCTGCTTTCCAAGCCGAGGTGGGAACGCGGGGGATGGTGCTGTGCTGTCCACTGCCAGGAGGAGCAGAACCACCACCACGGATGGATGCCACCGAGCAGAGAGAGCGCTTTGCTGCAGGGCTACGACCAACAGGACACGACGGGAAAGACGGAGGGGGACACGCGGCTCTTGGAAAAATAAGAAGAACCATATGAAACACGTGGGCAGGGGAGCGCCGGTTTCCTCGTCCCCTCTTGACCCTTTCCCTGCCCCAGGAGAGCAGCTGATTGCCCAGGCAGGATGAGCCACAGTGGTCCTGCTCTGGACAGAGCTGTGGCATTTCTCAGGGAGCCTCGAGGCTCCTCTCCCAGTGGGTCACTATCAAGAGACAGAACTGCAGCGGCTCTGCAGAAGAGGAGCTGGATTGGCTCTGCCCTCCAGGAGCCCTGCAGGCAGGCTGCCTTCCCCTTGGGGACACTTGAGTAATACTGAGTTCGTTTCCATGTCCGCTCCAGAGGCTACAGCCCTCGGAGGGCAGTTAAAGCAGCATGACAGAAGTTTCCTCCCAGTTTCACCTCTGCAGAGCGAGGACGTGACGCTGGGGGAGGGTTGGTGGGGTTTTTGCGTGTGTTCAATAGTTTCTCTCTAGGGCAAAAGGCAGAGGGGAAGCTGTGAAAAGGAGAGCTCCATCCGAATGTCTTCACGACCCCAGAGCCAAGATTCCTCTGCAGTCTTTTCTTTGAACCCCGGGGCTCTGTCGCTTTGTCCATAGATTTGGGAAGAGAAGGAAAAGAGGGAAAGAGAGAGAGGGGGAGAGAGGGAGAGAGAGAGGAGCGCTGTTCGGGTGACTCTGCTTACAGCCCATCAAAACTTGCACTTGGTAAAGATGATGATCTTGAGTGAGGCACGACTTGGTTTATCCCTCCCAGGGTGTCCCTGGCAGGACAGTTCTCAGCTGTCTATGCTCATGAGGGTTATGACTTGTTCAAGTTTGTAGGCTAGTTTCTGTTTCCCAGCCTGGTCGTCTTGATCGAGGGCTCCGAGAATCTGGAAAAGGAGAGAGGAAGAAGTGATAGGAATTTCTGTTTCTTTCCCCAAAATTACTGAGCCCAGCATCTTAGAGCAGCAGAGGAGGGTTAGCTTTCTCTAAAGCAGGTCCCAGCCTTAGCTTAGATCACTCAAAGGAAGTCAGTCAGCCAGGAGGGAACTAGGCAGGAGGTTTGGATTTAATCTGACTCAGTGCAGACCTCTGGATCACAACCAATGAAATGGATTCTTATCTTGGAGATCAGTTATTTATTTATGAGCTTTATCCATCACCTGGCCATGCCACTTGAGATGCCCTAAGGGGTTTCACATGGCCTTCAATACATAGAACCATGCTGGACACCTTAAAGTCAGTGCTGCACCATTTTGGGGTGTTTTAGGGGGATCTGGAATGACATTGGGCACAGTCCTTAAGCAACTTTTGGCCACTTTGGATGTAAAGCTCAGTTAATCCTCCTCTGCAGTGAATTAACATCTGACCTCAACTACTTCAAATCCAGCTGAGCCTGACTGAACAAGAGAGACAAAAATAACAGGGATCCAGAAAGGAGTTCTGAGGAGACCCAAAATCCCAGACCTCGCCTTTCCAAACCCCAAGCCTTGTTTCTCATTCCTTAAATCCTTCACGCTCCCAGCCAGGATGCAGACAGGTATCAGTGACACACCCTGGGCATGGGTGGGCTGTCCCCTGGCCCCCCAGAGGTGCCCCCAGGCTCTCACCTCCTCACTGTACTTGCCCACGTAGGAGTAGATCTCGGAGAGCGCGCTCATGGTGTTGAACTCGTTCATGTGCATGCGGGACTGCTCAGCCAGGTAAGCGTTCATGTCCTGGTCGCTGATTGCTGGCATCTTGCCGATGTCTGAGTAGTACCTGAGAGGCACAAACACAGGTCTTTCTTGAGGGGAGGAGCAGGAGCTCAAGAAGTGAAATCCATAAACAAGAAGGAGCCAAAAATCACACTTAGTATTGGGCTTTTCTGGTTCCTCAGTGAAATACCTGCTCATGCTATTCTTTTACAGCAAGAAAGGTGACCTAGCCAAAGTGGAAATGCCTGAGCACTAATCCTGAGCACCATGTGTTGTATTCACCCCAATCTGAGAATGAAGCCCCAGGGAGTATGCTGTAAACTTTCCCTGTGACATCAGTAGGAGCTGGATTGAAGCTGGATCACTTTGTCAGACATCCAAGGGTTTTCAGCCCTGCCTCCCTTCCCAGAGAGACCTCGCTGCACACTGAGAGCTCAGGACTTCACTTCCATGCACAGAAAAACCCCAAATATTTGTATTTTTCCTTGCACCATTCTCTCCACTACAGCTGCCCCCATTGCTAACATCACTCACCTTCCCCACACAATCCAGTCTATCCCAACAACTCTCCTCATCTTCTCAACTCTCAGCATCTCCTTTTCTGCCCCATATTTTAAGCTGGACTGATATTTGTGGCAACAGACTTCAAGTCCAACCTGACTGGGAAAAACCTGCTTTTCCTAGGAGTCAACAGCATTCCCCTGGAGCTCAGGAGGACTGGGGGGTTATCCATAGGATCTGGATCCCCCAGAACCATTGCCCAGCAGGCATCATCTGCAGAGTGATGTCTCTTTAAGGAAGTTGCTATTTTTGATGTCCTTCCTCCCCTGGGTAAGGCAGGTCTTGGAGGACAAGGTTTGCAGAAGGTAATCAGTCACTGTCACTCGCAGCTGTGCTCTGCTGTCAACTGGTTAATTAGACACCATCATTTACATTTTTAATTTCTGCAATTTGACATTTTGTGCACGAGGAAAAAAAAAAAAAAGAAGAAAAAAAACAAAAACCCATAGCTGCAGCAATCCACAATTTTATAATTAGGAGGCAGAGGGGACAGGGAGCCAAAAGAGCTGACAGGTGTCCTGTAAACAGCGTGGAGACACCTGCTGAGATGGAGGCTGTTTGCCACTGCAGAGAAATTGGACACTGAAGTGCTGTGTGATGAGGATCCTTGAGGTGGATGAGTGGGAAAATACTCCGAGACAGAGCAGGACGGGCAGCTGCTGGAGTGTCCTGTGGAAGACAGAGCTGTGCAAGAGCATGGGGGGAAACCCTTCCACACCAGGAAGCTCCAGTTGTGCTCAGACTGGTTTTGTGTCCTTCAATCCCACCCTGATTTACTGCAGTGGGTCACTCTCTGTTGATATCCTGGTTTTGGTGGTGGCATGTTGATGTAATCCATGAGAGAGGGAGCCATAGGAGACAGAGATCCTTCTTGCCTGACATTTTCCAAAGCAAAACTCTGTTTCACCATAAAAACTTGTGCAAATCTCATTAATTTTACTGCAACTTCCAGCAGGCACAAAAACATCTCTCTCCCTGGAGTCCTGGCATTTTTTCTTCTGGGCTTAGGACCAGCCAGAAATCATAGTCTAACTCAGTCCCATTGATTTGCAGAAAGACTCTAAAACTGTAGTGGTTTTAGAGTAGGTATGCTTTATTGGCAGGCTCGGGCACACGGGGGATTGCTCTTTTGAAAACCTGCTCAAAAATTACTGGGCTCACATTTTTTATTTATCTTTTAAAGCATTATATATGTATAGGATTGCACAAATTATTTTATGCATATTTATTTTTTGGTTTTGCTTATTTTTGCCTCATATATTAATCAGTTCTATGCTCTTCTGGGCAGGTGCAGTTTACTCTGGTGGTTGCAGGGTGGTTGTTAGAGGATGAAGGCTCAAACCTTTTTGCATTAAACTTTTCACTTTTTTGTTTTGCATGTGTGCTGTCGTTCTTTGGTAACTGTCTAAACTACTGGATTACTTCTACCTATCCAGTTTAGGAGTCTGAGGGCCCCACTTATTTAGGTCTTCTGCATTTTTGGCCTTTTATATTTAGGTTATTTCTTCTTATCATACAAGAGGACAAGAAGCTCATGTTCTTGTGAGTGCTGTAGAAGTTTACATGGGGATGGTAAAAGGTTACAGACAGTATCTGATTTCTGTTGAGTTTAATACATTCTAAAAGGCAAATATATATTTTCAGGTTAACTATTTACTTAATTAATTAAATCTTAAGCTGTCTAAACTTCCTGTCTCACCATGGTCTAACTGTTTCTCCTTCTTAGTGCTCCAGTGAAAAGTGGTGTGGGTTTGTTTTTCTTTACACTCTGCCTGACCCTCCATCCCTGAGTGGACCTGGACAGTTGTCTGTGAGTAAAGTGAGCATCTGGAAATCCCAGGAGGCCCTGTCCTGCAGAACTGCCCCCAGGAGAAGATGCTGAGCAGGAAGAATAAATATTTCTTAGACCTTTGCTACTGCCAGAAAAAAAACAGGTCTTGGCATCACCTGCTGGAGAAGATCAGATCTGTGCTGCACAAGGGATCTGTGCTGCATCAGAAATTGGTGGCATCTATAACATGGATGAGAAAACAAGGAATCTTATGGTCAAAAAGCAAGGCGTGCCTTGGCACTGGGAAAAAAGAGAATCCATGTGCACATTTCACATAATTGTGGAAAACAGGCTGCAAAGCAAGGAAATACACTGATTTATGGTGCCTGAAAAGAGAGCAGCTCCTCATGAATGTGGGATAGGCAACCTCCTGATGGGTGAAATGAGAAGAGAAGGGGGCTCATCACAGCAAAAAATAAATGGGGTCAACAGAAGAAATCAGAGGTGCCAATCTGGCTCTGACAAGCAGTTAAAATTCTCCTTTTCCTCTCTGGTTGAGCTGTCACCAAGTGGTGGCAGGATAGTGGGTGTAGGGACAGGGTGCTCCCAAAAACTGGAGCACAGACACATTTAGCAACTCCTTCTCCAAGTTTGTCCTGCTTCCTTTCCACCTGGTAGCAACAGACTCTTGAATTTGTGACTCACAGGGGTTTGAAAGCTCCCCATCCCTTTCCAGCCCTGCAGAGATCATTCCCCAGCAGCACAACACTCCCATGACTCATCCAAGCAAGGAAAAGCAGCAGGAAATGTTCCCTGGAGCCCAGGATGGGATGCACAGATCTGAGTTTCAAGAATCAGAGTTTCAGGGCTCTGGCCATGACAGACCATCACAGGCCACAGGCCGTCACCCACCAAAGTATCCTGGTCTCCTGCAGACTCAATTCCCTGGCATCACACACCTAAACAGTCATTTCCCATTAAACCAAGGTATTTTGTGGCAAAAATAGAAGAAAAATAAAAGAATAAAATAAAAAGAAGGGGAAACAAATGTTCCAATCCCCTAATCTAGATGAGTGAGAAGACATAATATCCTTCCATCCAAATTCTGCCATGGCCCAGTGACTTATTTATGCAGAAGAGTTTCTAATGAAGCCATCACTGCTCTCTAAAGAAATGATGAATGTGTGTATTAAAGCATCCTAGCAGCAAGATGACAACATCCCTGCTGAGTCTTTATTTGCCTTCGATTCCAGCCCAGATCCTCAGAGGTATTTAGAGCCTCTCTGCCATTTGCATACCCCTAATGCAAAAACCACTGAGAAGCTGTCACCAAACCCCAGAGACCCTTCCATTTCCTCTGCTGGAATTTGCAAGGCTGCCTGTGCTGCTCCCATCACCCCTGCAGCTGACAGCTCCCACACCAAAGCTGGGCTGGGAGGCAGTGCCAGGGGTGCTCTGGCACTTGTGGAGGGCCACCAGGTCTCACCTGGGACAGGGACAGGTTTTTGATTCACACTTCCACAGCCAGCAAGAGGCTGAGAACACAAGACTGAGCCAGATTCCCTCTGAATGAGACAAGGTAGCAAAGCAAAGCAGCAAATTTAGCTTAACCTGCCTCCAAAAGCTCAAGAGTGAGAATCCTGAGCAGATTTGCTGCTACTTCTGTACTCCAGCTTTGCTCATCTCCAGTGGATCCTTCCCCAGATGATTCCAGAAGATCCTTAGATGAATATCAAAAGATCCACCTAATACGTCTGAGTTTCCCCATATTCACAGGAGCAGCCTCCATTCTCACCTCAAGGCTCTCCATCCTCTGAAGTGACAACAGGAAATTTGTTCATCAGACTTCATAAGCAGTTAAAATAATGAGGAATTTGGGTAAAGTCATCATTCCAGCACTCCAGCTCGGATGTGAGGATGACTAGGCCATGGGATGTGTCCCCACAGGTATCACAAGCACAGCAATGCATCCCAGCCTGCCTTGAACTGGAGGGAGAGCCCAGGAGACCACCCATTGCCACTGATGGATGGAGAAAGATCTGGGATGTACCAGGATACAGTTGGCACTCTTATACTGAACAAATAATTATTCTTGTTCCTTCCAACCTTATCTTTCCCTGGCTTGGTTTCATTTTGTTTTGTTTCATTTTGTTTTCCAGAGGAAAGCGACACAACAGTGACCTGGGCATACATCACTGTGACCTGGGAATATATTCTGTCCTCTGTTTATCCAGGGATAAATGTTCTTTCCCTCGGTAGATGAGGAAAGGCTCCTTAGCAGAGCTGTTTCACAAGAATGACTGTGCCTGCTGCCGCTCATTAACTCATCAAAAGAGAAGAGAAAAACCACGTTACCAGTGCTTCCTCCTCAGCCCGAAATTTCCCAGCACAGCCCATGGTTTAGGCAGCTTAGCATGGAGCTAATTGCCTTCCAAAAGATCTTTTTGTCATGGCTGTTGTTTGTCGCTGGGATGGGACTGCACTCATTAATAATCATTTTAGCATATGAAAAGCTTGTAACGAATCCATGTGCTGCAGACGGCAGACGCAATTACTGCAATAACATAATTAGGGTTATGCAATAGCCGGCTGTATCCAGACCACTGGAGGAGGGAGAGGTGTGTGAAAGGGATCTGGGGGACTGTTCCAGCAGGGAAGAGCTGGTGGAAAGCTTGGGAACAACCAGCTCTTTTATGGGATGCAGTGAAGCAGTGCAAGGACATGCTGTGAGT